AACAATAACTCTTCTAATTCTGACCACCGTGTATGCACTACGCTGCGAGACAACACCGCTGACATCTGCTGTTCGCTCATCAACAGCATTTTATGTGACAGTGAGTGGACTGAGTGCGGCGAGGCTTTCAGCGCCTCTTCTTTATATAGTGGCCTCACCTCCTCACCCGGCCCATTCAGCTCATTTTCACAGACTGTCACTTTTCTTGACCTGGGAAACCACAAGTGATACTGGATGAGCTGTTAATGGTGTACAGAGACATAGCACATTGCAAGGACATGTGCAGTCAGTACTTGAGTATGTCGCACCTACTGCTGTCGACAACACTGAGCTTAGTTTCACAAGCTCTGTAAAGCCTACATCAATGCAGTGTTCAAAGTAAATCCTCCTTGGGGCTTGGCTTCCTTATGAATTTTAAGAATCAGTGTTTTCCCCATGTTAACCTTCTTTGTGGGCCGAAATGAACAACTTGCCATGGTTGCCATCTCCCCATCTACAGGCTCCAGTAGAGAAGAAGCCAACCTAGGTGAGAAAGTTTCCTGTCAGACATTTAATTGGCGTGATTGTCAGCAAGTGCATTTATCTTTAAAGAATAACTGAGCTCTCATGAATACTGCACTATGACAATGTCGGGGAAAAGTAAACTGGCGCCAGTCATGTGAACAAGCATGTGAGAAATGTGACTAAGGTTGGCGGTAAAGCGGTCCTGACAGGTCAATAAATTGCACTTAATGAGCTGGTGATTTTCACGCTCTCTCATCATGTCTTGTATCCAGCGAGGACAAGAAATGATTGATACACAGATTAGAATATCAAATGAAACAGTGACAAATGATTTTGTTAGTGAAAGTAGGTAAAATCCCTGAAAATCCCAGTCTTTGGAGATATATATAGATAGATATATGTAGCACTGGGTATTTTAAAAGACACAAAAAGATGGTTATGGCCAGTCAAAGTGGATTGTAATCAGATTACTGTAATTATGTTCAGAAAAATCTGAAAAGCCCATTTGGGTAGTTCAAACAACTGGCTGATTTCTGCCATATTGAGAACAAATTTGTGACTTCATCTCTTCTGCAGTGAAACTCTGGCTCAACAATAGCACCCATGTCATTCATACCATGTATAAAAAGAGAAGAAGTGCAGACTTTAAAACCAGTCATTTGCATTTTAAGTTAATACCATGACGTTCTGTAGTTTAGATAGTCAAAACTGGTCTGTGGACAGAAACAGTTTAAAGTGATTAAGTGCTTTAACCTTCAGTCTGCTCTTGATATTCTAAACCAGTTATTCCAATCTCTTTGTCCAATGTCAGTCATGGTAACGCAGGACGAATGGCTACTACACAAGGGTGTGTGTGTCTGTGTGAGTGTTTATTGCGAGCATGCAATACTGTATGTGCTGTATGAAGCATCATTTACCTGTTACTTCCTAAAGAGGACATAGTTTATAAATATCATCCAGTGGAGATGAGGGTTGGGGCTACAAAAGGCTACCCACAATCTCCCCATTGTTCACTGGCATCATTGTTGGTCTGACCTCCCAGCTGCTCAGCCATGGTAAGTCGCTGTGTGTGTGTGTGTGTGTGTGTGTGTGTGTGTGTGTTTGTATGTGTGTGTGTGGGCCATCTGATGGTGCAGGACAGATATGGGACATGATTATTTGACATCAAGGATGCTAACTTTGTGTGGACAGATGATAGCAATAATTGAATACTCATTTTATAATTTGAAACCATTTAATATTTTAACAGTATTCAATATTTCTGAGCATAAATTCATTTTCTGCGATTAATAATTGGCAGAAGTAGATGATTATTAAGTAAAAATGAAAACACTGGCTGGTAGCTTATGTTGCACTGTTTCATTTTTACCAACCTTTCCCCAGACATTGAATGCGTTGCTTTATATGGGCTACATTTAATGCATCCTAAATTACAAACAATATATTTTAAAGGGAAAATATTGTTACTTGTGCAGATATAAATCTTCTAAGCAATTTAATGAAGTTCATGCACGATTACTGAAAGCAATCTCCCACTTTTTAGAAACAGTTTTCTGTTAAGCCATACGATCCCTTTTATTTATGTTGTCTGACATTAGCTTTACTTTAACCGGCATGTAGCGTCTACCTCATCTCTCCTTTCTTTGTGCCAAAAGGCCCCCAAGAAAGCCAAGAAGAGGACAGCAGAGGGAGCCAACTCCAATGTGTTCTCCATGTTTGAGCAGGCTCAGATCCAGGAATTTAAAGAGGTGAAAGCTGCTCAACCCATTTTTATTTCACCCATTTGATTTGGCTGTGAATGACATAAGAGTTGTGTAAAGGGTCTTTGAATATGCATGTTAGCTCACCATGTCCAGTATTATAATCCAAGTGTTCTTAAAAATACTCAGCAGCACATACAGAAGTCCCATCTACGTCCTCCTCCGTCTCTCCATTTCGAATTGTTCATCCTTGTACTATGTCCACCTGTCTATTTTCCTGCCCCCGGCTTGGCAACAGTGAGGCTTGTGGTATGCTGGTATGAGGGTCAGTGGTGCCCAGACATCCAGAGTGTGTCATCAGTGATTAGGGTGCAGATAAACTGCTGGGCATGCCCTGGATGCCAGGCTAAACCCCAGGGGGCTTGCAGGTTATAAATACTTAACAGTGATCACCTTTAAAGATGGCAGACAAAATATTCAGGGGTAGAAAGGGAATCTAAAACAGTGCGACAGTGATTGAATTGGGCTGGAAGCATGTGGCTACAATCTGTTTGCAACTATCCCTTTTCAAGACCAGGAGACTCATTTATATGTACTGACCTCAGGCCTTCACTATCATGGACCAGAACAGAGATGGCTTCATCGACAAGAATGACCTGAGGGACACTTTTGCTGCTCTAGGTACGTCAACATCACCCACATTCAGCCTTACAAGAGGTTGTGAACTGATATTCATGTTGAATGTTTGTTGCCGTAGGACGTCTCAATGTGAAACAGGAAGAGATTGATGAGATGCTCAAAGAGGCTCCAGGCCCAATCAACTTTACCGTCTTCCTCACCATGTTCGGTGAGAAGCTGAAAGGTAAGGATACACGGGCTAAAGATGAAAATCGAATCTGGAAATTATTAATTAAACTATGTTTGGCTAAATATGCTAACCGGTAATGTATCTAGGTGCCGATCCAGAGGAGACCATCCTCAACGCGTTTAAAGTCTTTGACCCTGAGGGGAAAGGGGTGCTGAGGAAGGACTAGTAAGTGACTCAACACACTCCACTCCTCACACCACGTCAATTTGCAATATGGAAATTCATTGCAGGCAGCGTTATGGAAGCTTTCTCTCACAATTTATGACCGCATCTGAGTGCAATCATTCATCCCAGAACTCCACAATAAAGGAAGCCATAATGACCTGCGCATAATTTCCTCCTGTTGTGAACCTCGTCATCTCATACAGTGTTTTTTTTTTCTCTTTTCCCTGTTCAGTGTGACACATATGCTAACAACGCAAGCAGACCGATTCACCCCTGAAGAGGTACACTCTAGTCCTTTTGCAGTAATTATCCTTATTATGTCAGATTGCTGTGTGTGTGTGTGTGTGTGTGTGTGTGTGTGTGTGTGTGTGTGTGTGTGTGTGTGTGTGTGTGTGTGTGTGTGTGTGTGTGTGTGTGTGTCCGTCCAAAAACACAGAGGTATAAACGTCATCGTGACGATCGTCTACATCCACGTCAGAAACATTTTCATCCAAAAACAAACCCATCAGTGAATCATCAACACACCTTCTCATGCACACTGAGATGTGTGTTGTCTTTGTAAAAGGGGAAAGAGGGAAAAGTGATGCTAATATCTGTTTTTTTTTTTTTTTTGGTGGTTAGATGGAGCAGATGTTTGCTGCCTTCCCCCCAGATGTAGCAGGGAACCTGGACTACAAGAACCTGGTTCACATCATTACCCATGGAGAGGAAAAGGACCAGGAGTAAACCTTTTTGTCAACATGTTCATCAAATAGAAAGTTCGTCTCTTTGCTCGTACATGACTTGAAACTGGCCCACTGCCCCTTGAAGGAGATATGGACTGTGGTGTATTTACACATCTTTATGTTGGCTGCATTGTCTCTGTACAGTACTCAAGAGGATCAAAAGTTCCTGCCAGGACCCAAAAATGCCCATTTGACAACATCAACATAGTGAGCTGTGTTGCTTCATATCTGCTTTATCCACAGTATGATCCCTCATCCACCTGAGACTTATTAAATTAGTCCGCCTCATCATTTTATACACTCTCTCTCTTTTTCATAGAAAATATCCATTTGTTAAGTCTGTGCATGTTCGTCTAATAAAAGTTTTCAAAGACAGGAGCCCATTTTGTCATTCTGATTTTTTAAAATATATGAACAACACAGTGAGGGAACTCTATAGAGACTATACAAAATAAGTTTTATTCCTGTGAGTGGTGCTCATGTGTTTATAGGATCATCAAATTACTGCTTGAACACATGCCTGCACTAGCTAGTAGTTTAATTCCATGTTAGGTAGTGAATGTGTGTACTTGAGAATAGCGGTTGGAGATCCCCTGAAATCCCAAGAGAGAGAGATTTATCCAAAACATGCCGGTGGGATAGTTTTTGTGTGCGCGTCCGTGTGTATTTGCCTGCGTACGCATGTACAAAGTAGGATATGTGTGCATTGTGTGTGTGTGTGTGAGTGTGTGAGTGTGTGAGTGTGTGAGTGAGTGCGTGCGTGCGTGCGTGCATGCATGCATTAAATTGTTTGGCTACTGAAACAAAGGGCTTTAGTGAGACAAAGCCCTGTTGTTATTTTAGTGCTGTGATGATGTAAGGAGGGTAATGCTATACTGAGGAGTTTGAGACAGGCACACAGTAGGATGCCACTCTCCCCTACACCACTTGTAAGACCTTGGAGGGGCAGAGGTGGCTAAAGTACACACATTGTTTACTCTTCTGCCCCCAAGCAGCCAAAGGAACCCCAAACCCCAAAAAATGAATGCAGCTTCAATATTGATGCTCTCATCTTTTATCCTCTATCTAATACAGAAATGATTGATTGTACTGTATGTTACATGGACCAGCTATGATGCTGTAATTGGGTTTTTATTGTCGGTAAGAGGCTGTTTCACTGCAATGAGAAAAGGAAGCATGTGAAGGTGCCATTTTCTGTTGGATCAGGCTGACTTTAGTGAGCGTGAAGTAGACTTAGTGCTGTTCCCTGTAACAAACACACATACAGTATAGCATACAGTTTATGGTTGAACAGGTAGAACATGTTAAAATTATACAGAATTATTAGTTTTGGTCAAGAACAGTCACTTTTTGAAGTTTTATCATTCAGTCTGACTGCAGGGTTAAAGGTTAGGTGTTTCATACCTGGTAGCAAGTCAGAATTAGATAACAGCAGGTTGTGAGGAGGCTGCTGCATCTGCTCATCGTCCACATCGTTGGCCTGGATCAGCAGGTCGCTAATGCACTCCTCAAGGATACCTGAAGAAGGTGACAACAGTTGTTAAAGCCTCTATGTGAGATTCTGAAGCATTTCTCGTAGGTTATTAATCACTGTTTATTGCTAATGTGGGAACAGATTGTAATGTAACTTTGTTAAAATGAGACCTTCCCCGATTTTCTCAGTTGCCTGTGAACTGATTTAAATGCGTTTCTATGTAGGGATGTGGATTGGATCTTGCTAATGTAGCAAGATACTGTCAGCTAGCGTCATGCAGACTCCTCGGGCTGTCATTGCGGGGGCGCCATATTGTATTCAGTACAGCTGGGTTGCAGCTGGCTAGCCTTAGTTTGCCTGCTCACTAACATTAGCACTAGCAAAATACTATCTGCATATGTTAGTTGGCTGATGTAAGCTTACAAACTTACTTCACCAGCTAACGTGATCCATGATACCAACTTATGCACTATGTCATACAGTCAATAATAAATGATGCAACAGTACACGGCAATCGATTGCTTTCTCCTAGCCAATAGCAATGCAAGGCAGGGGCATCCAACTAGCTGAGGGGGGCCAATCACACAGACGCATCGCTACAGGTAAACCCACTTCAAAAAACCCTTGGCAAAGCACAATGGGAAAAATGGCTGGTGCGCCTGGGTCCACAACCAGGCCATGCTTCATGGTGTTGGTTGATGGGTAGATTTGTAAACGGCAAGCTAGTTAGTAGCCTGGAGTCAGTGGTCAAAAATATATAGGAACATTGCAGACAGTGATGTTATTCTAAATATGATTGTAATTTATTTTAGGCTGATGCCCAGGATGATGCTTGCTCGCGCCTATGGACTATGTATGGGGCAACAGGACGCTGACTGCAGTTCACTTAACAGCCACTGGTGTCATTAATAACAATGGTTTTCTCAAAGTTACATATAGAACATTTAAAATGTGGGAAATGTATATTCAGAGGCAGGATTAAGAAGTTAAAAGTTCCACCTACTAATGCAGTGTACAATGTTGTCAAAAGTGACAGTGACAGATTTGTGCGTTATCTCATCGAAAAGGACATTGATGGCAGTCCGCAGCTGGTCCAGAGTTATCTGAATCACACTGCATTGCTGTTCCAGGGTGTCGGCCAGATGGCTATTCTTCTGCAACTCAGACTACAGCACAGAAAGACACAGGAAAATAATTATAGTGCAGCTGGACCTAGAAAGGGTCTTTCACCTTTTTTTTTTACATGTTTTGTGAGTTTTGTTGCAACTAGTTTCTCCAAAATGCTTGGAATGGAGGGTGAGGTGAGGGTGTTGTAATCTGCAGCTACACCACTAGATGCCATTAAATCCTACACACTGGTCCTTTAAGATCCAAAGTCATGTAATCTTTGTATAAAGTATAAAAACATATATTAAAAAAGGAATCTTGAACAAAGCTGTGACCTCATGAGACATTTCCAACAATGGGATATACAATATATTAATAGACGACAGTACTTAATCAAAGCCTTTTTGTCTTTTGACAATAGGGAAAATATCCATGTTAATAACAAACAAGGAGGAGGATTTGTAACATTATTCTCATTTACTAGCTATATAGTCATACATTAATTATTAGGGGACTGAGATACTTTCATATGTGACAGTATAGTGTCAGTATATAGTTGCATGCTCTCAGAATGGTCTGTAAGTGACCAATTAAATGTTAAAATGAACTCTGTAAGAATGAAAGGATATATTTTTGGATATGTGACTCAGATGCAGTGATATACAAACAGAAGATGTCTTTCTGCAAATGCTGTTGGTTCAGTTGTCTTCATATGAGGTGATTTTCAAGTTTCAGGTTTTTCATCTATGTCATGGTCAAAAATAATTTTATCTAGGAAACCAACAGCTGTTTTGATTTGTACCTGAAAACGCGTTGCTAGGAAACAGCTTGGATGCAAGTTTATTTCTCATTATTTCTTTCTTGTGAGCTACCTAGCATTATACAATAATTGTATGTAATTATAATTTACATAAATATACAGGTATTAGCAAAAAAGCAAACTGCACCAGAAAATACACCAGGGCAAAGTTATAATATTTGCACTATGCCTGAAACTGTGAAATAGTCTACATACTGCATTATGTGCATAGGTCTGACAGTGAGACTCACCTCTAGATCCTCAAGCTGGCTCTTAGTCTGCTCATTACGCCCTTCGTTCTCTTGCTCCAGGAGCAGGATATCACCCTTAAGGAGAAACACATGCATATTTACACAACTTACACTAGGTTAAACTATGTCTCTGAGCACGTTGGCAGGATAAGCACTTGCCTTCAACTTGTTTGTGCGGTTCTTCATTATGTTCCTTTTGTTGTGCAGCTCGTTGATGTACCCAATATGAGTGAAATTCTTCTGTTCTTTATCCATGAACACTTGACTTATCTGACGCAGGTCTCTTTCTCCGATGACTTCTACTAGCGTACTGTGTCCCTGCATGTACATCTCCAGCATATTCGCTGCATTCTGATGTTGCTGCTGTTTCTCTGCACCTACATAATAAAGGTCACAGAAGTCAGATTCTGTCTGAAAAACATTAAATTATTTAATTCCTTGTGGAATATTATACTTTTCTTCTTGTAGTCTTCATCGTCTTCCAAAGGAATAATTTCCTGGAGTTTCCTCTCCATGAATGAATGCAATTTGGCGTCATGGTCGATGACAATCTTCAGCTGCATCTGTCTCTTGATGAAGTGATTACTCTCCACCTCGATGCACTTCCTCACCTCCAGTGTTCGGCTCTCAGCCTCTGACCTGCAGCATAACAAACACACATCAAACAACATGGCTCAACCTTTCCAATACAGCACTTCACAAACGTGAATTTACCTCTGGCGGAAAGCGAGGGTGCACTTCGACCCCAGTTTCTCCATCATGCTTTGCTGTGAGGCTATCTGTCTGTTGAAATTAGTTTTGATTTTGCACCCCAAGTCTTTCTGCTGCAGCATGTGAGCAATGTCTTTGCGATAATCCATGTTGCCGCAGAGTATCTCATCAAACTTAATAGTGACCTATAGAAAACAAGGAAGGAATTCGAGTTGAGATTAAACTCTGGGACTATTCGTATTTCAACATTGAAATGTGTGTGAAAGTCAGGCTTAACCTTGTATGTCAAGTGGAAAATCTGGGCTAACATCATAGACTGTGATGAGGAGGGTTCGCCACCTTCAATATGGAAAAATAAGGGACATCTTGCCAGCGGTGGTTTTACAAGAAGTTGCTGGACTATTTTTTTATCTGGGTGCACTGACTTCCTGGGGCCTTCTGCAGCATATAACTCCCCATGCTTTCACTCTTAATGCTAAGCTAAGCTAACATCTCTAAGTTGTAGCTTCATATCTAACGGACAGACATGAGAGTGATATGAATCTTCTTATCTAATTTTTCAAATCAAAGAAAGAAATCAAATAAGTTTGTTTCCCAAAATGATAAATTCTTCCTTTAAAGTACTTACGAAGGGGACTTGAGTGAAGGTAACATCAAGGTGTGTAATAAGTCAGTATCAAGATTATGTATTTTATTGGCATTAGTACCTGGTTGAGCTTGTTTTCCAAGCTGCGGATGTGTTTCTTGTGGCGGCTGTGTTTCCCTTGTTGTTTGAAGATGCCACCTGGGACTGTTAACTTTTGCTGAATCCTGCTCTCCACCGCTGTTATCTGGAGCCACACAGAAAAGAAGACACAATGCACTCTGTTCCTGTGCACAAAGTGACACATTTTCCTTTTCTGTTAGCTGTAGCACATTGGATTTTAAACGACACACTATGAAGATGAAGTGCGGCCTTTCAGCTTTAAGAGTATTTGAAGGTGTTCAAATACCTGTCCTGAATAAACCGTAGCCCTTTGAATACAATGTCCCCTTCAATTTTTTAGCAATGCAGCCTGACAATGGGGCTATAACGCCTACTATATAATTCCTACACTGTTCAAGTGTCCAAATAGACTCAAATTACAGTAAAAAGACAACTCTTTAACTTCAATGTCATAATTATATATCTGACTATTATATATCTGACCATACTGTATTGGATCACCAAAAGTCTGTTACTCTTAATAAATACTATTACACAACATATTTAACGTTACACTGAACCTGCTATTACTGGTATCATTACTACTGTACATACTACTGTTACCATTACTGTGACTTCTAACGTTACTCACGTTACATAAGTTAAGTTACCGTTACATAAGTTACATAGCATATCATATATCATAACCTAACGTTACATCATATCTCAACAAAAACAGAGTTAAAAATAATCTCTTCAACAGGAATAATAAGTTAAAAGAATTGATTACAAGTCAAATACACACTTAAAAAACTCCTTTAATCTTTAGATCTTTAAGACACTTCAGTAGCAGTAGGAGTAACGTTAAGTTATAGCAACTTATGGTTTAAGTTAACATTACCTCCTGATCCAGAGAGACCAAATGATCCCTCTGCTGGCTGATGAGCTTCTTATATTGGTCATTTTCCTCCTGCAGGTTGTTGTATTGCTCCTTCAAAATGTCTGTTGCCATTTTGATCTAACGTACATACACAGCAAGATTTGCTGCAGCAATAGTGATTAGATGGTTATTCTCAACTCCACAGTAGCTTGTAGCTTGGCGCATAACCATATGAAGTTTTCTTTCTGAAGATAATGACCTACCTGCTGAGTAAAATGGAGGAAGTCTCTCTTAGAGGAGAAATATCTTTATGGATTAACCTTTTTTCTTCAAACTGTTGGCTGCAGCCTTTCTCTGTTTCAAACATAAACATTCTAAAAGAGTCTGTGTTTATTTACTGTTGAAGTGTCAGGATCATTTGAGTTTTCATCTAAAGGAACAGCATCACCAGTATTGAGTGGTAACTCTCACCAAATGTCCGAAAATCTGAAAGTTGGTATAAGTTTGTTGTACATGATTACCCCCTAGCGGCCATGAAGGAATATGAAAGATGAAATAAATCAAATGGACATCAAAAATGATCATCAAGGGCTGTAATACTCAAAGTATCTACAAAATGCCCTGATAAAAAAAATATTAATTCTACGGGCCTAATGAATCCTAATCTCAAGTAATTCCTCAAAAGGAAACCTATACATCATCATGCAGCAAGATAAAAATGATAGCTTCCACAGAAATCTTGTTGAAATCACATAAAATACATGAAAACCTGTGTAAAGCCACGATAAAGTCACTATCGTCTCTCTGCTGAGCACCACACACTGCAACTCCCTGTAGGAATATTACACAAATCTATAGTGTGCTGAGGTTGCAATTAATGGCCTCTCACACGGATTTATATTGAGATCTAATACAGTTCTTAAGTAGCATTTAGTCCATTGAGAAATAATGGATGACTTTTCTGTGAGAAGCATTGATTTGTGCTGAGTGTTCAGGGAGGCAAGCACAACTCCTCGGTCCCTTTCTATTTCAATGTACAGCCATTTTTAGGTTAGTGTTCTTGTATCCTTTGAAAAGACTATCTTCAGACACACTGAGTGTATACATGTTGCTCATGTTACTCATTACATGTACTATCCTCAGGATCAACTTCATAGCATTGAAAATGACTATTAGAAAACAAAAATGTGAACTTCATAAACCATCAGAGTATTAATGATATCAATGTTATCTGCCTCCTCTTTGGTCACCAGGCAACTGGCTGATTAAGAGCCTATTCTGCATTTTCATTATCTGAAATCAATCACAGTGGAAGAAGGGTCTCAAGAGGCTAGTGTCTTTATATTGTTCTAAAAAAAAAGTTTTTTTTAAAGTTGAACAATGCCTCAAAAGAGACTTGATTATTTTCTGGTGTAGCCATCCATTTACAAAGCATTAGGGCTGGGCAATACCGCACTTTTTAAATTCGATATGATACAGATACCGATACTGATCATTTCTTAAACAGGTATATGATTTTTCCAAATAATGGATATTTTTTTAAAGGAAAAGAAGAAAATAATTACATTTAAAGGCAAATCACATGACACATACTGGCCATTAATAACACATGTATTACAAAACCAAATAGGCCTACAATTAATGGTTTTTATTTATGTCATTTTATTAACTATATTTTACAGTTTTTAAAGGAATCAATGCTAACTGAGTAGCTTGTAAGTATTGATGTACTGCTGCTGCAGAATCAATCTGCCCATCCCTACGAAGCAACTTACATTTCTGCTCATTACTCCTGAACTGTGAGAGCAGAAGAAAATGTTTTTCCCCCCCTCGATTCAAGTTATTGGCCTAAACTATCCTGAATTTGTTTGCAGTTGCTCCTTCTATGGTAAATTTAGTCACATTTTTAAAAAATCGTGTTTGACATCATTAAATTTTTGGCAGCACAAAAATTTGGAGATACAAGCAAATTTAGAAGACAGGTGCAAATAGCCTGACATTGCCACACTAATTTGAAAATGTGAATCTGCCAGAGCAATTGAGACAAGCAATTACAACTCCAGGTAATCTTACAAAATTCTGCTGATAGCATTTCACCCATAGGTGGCACTATGGAAACAACACAGATCTTATAAGTCTAGCTCACTTGGAATTTTGTACAATCTCTTGCTACCTCCGTCACAGCACATTGCTTATCTTCCATGCTGGTAGTCCTGTCTGTGTCTCTGAACTGGGGCACTGCTGACAACCATCACCTTTAGGTGATACACTGACTATAGAAAAGTATCTGTACAACGTTGTTTCTCAATTTGAACTAACCCTTTTAACAAATTAATTCTACATTATCCCATTTTGAATAGCCTAAATATTTTCGCTAAAGCCTACCATCAAAAGTGTTTTTGATGGTGGGAACACATTCACCCGGAGAACACTTTGAATCACTGAAAGCCAACATGTTCTTAAGTCGGGTTGTATGAGGTATTATCTGTTGTCAGTGTATTGCTTAAAGTAGATGGCAGTCATCCGTCCATTCAGGTTGGAGAAGTAGGCTGAAGCACTGATTAAAGCTAAGCAATTCTAGTAACTATTCCTCACATGCACTACATAGCTTTGCCATGGAAACTATAGTTCTGTCTGCTTCTCCAAACTGTGCTGCATTGCCTTCTTGACTGCATATACACTGACTGTGTTTAATTATCTCTTACAAACCCCGCTGTGAGTCAAAATCCTAATTAACCTTTTAATTTTATGTAAAATTAACTCATTTCGTTATCTAATTTAAAAAATAACATAATTATTTTTCATGGTCAACTCGGGATCAACCGGAAGCACCAAAAGACTAAACAACTTTAAACGGGCTAGTTCAGATTTTTAAGTGGGGTTGTATGAGGTACAGTCAGTGTTACCTACAGTAGATGGTGGTCAGTACAACCCCAGTTTGGAGAAGCACACAGGAGTACTAACACCGAAGCTAAGCAATATAGTGCTGTGGACAGTGGCAGCAGAAGGTTTTAACCACCTAAAAAATAAACAATATCAGTTTAGGTATGCTATATTAGTAGTATTTTCACCACTTTACCTTGCTGTCAGACAGCCCTTTCCAACTGGAGACTGAAGCATTTATGTCACTCTCTCCAAAGCCACCAGACTCTTGAAGAGAGAGCATAGAGCGACATAAACGCAATAAGTTTCCCATAGGAAAGGGCTGTCTGACAGTAAGGTAAAGTGGTGAAAATACTGAAAATTATAATATAGCGTATACCTCAGCTGAATTTTTTTTAGGTGGCTAGAACATATTTTTTCTGCTGCCCCCGTTCACAGCATATTGCTTAGCTTCCATGCTGGTAGTCCTGTCTGCGTCTCTGAACTGGGGGACTGCTGACCGCCATCTACTGTAGGTGATACGCTGACTATAGAAAAGTACCTCGTACAACATCGCTTCCTCAATTTGAACTAACCCTTTTAACAAATTAATTATACATTATCCCATTTTGAATAGCCTAAATATTTACACTAAAGCCTACCATCAAAAGTGTTTTTGATGGTGGGGTAACCGGAGCACCAAGAGAAAACAACTTTAAAGGGTTAGTTCAGATTTTTTAAATGGGGTTGTATGAGGTACTTTGACTATGTATAAGTAGGTCTAGTCTGCCTCACTTTCCCCATTTAAAAAAAACAACTAATCCTTAATCCATAAACTACCTAATTATGCCCAACACCAAAACCAACTCCTCCTACATCCTAAGCCATCGTGCCCCCCCTAACTCTCTGGGTGAACCTCCTCCATAACGTTGGCCTCCTCTGGGTCTCCACTCTGCCTTGCTCTACTTCAGGCTCCACACACTCTATTGTTTCCCTGCTCGAGTAAGACCTCCTCCATCCTGGAATGAAGACCCTGACAAACCTGTGCAAGAGTGAAAGATTGTTGGGTTCACTCACCAAGTCCGGTTCCACACTGACGGGAGGGAGGGACTGCCCCATCAGGACCTGCTCCTGAAGAAGCCTTACCTGTTCCCGAAGGGCATCCCTCTCCTCTTTAAGCTGCAGCACAAGCAGCTCGTCGAAGCTTTGAATCACTTGAGCTTCCTCCAGCTCCGATGTCAGTGATGATATGAGAGCCGTGGCCCTCGCTTCATTTAAGTTAGTCTGGTGCTTTTGCCTTTGGAGCAATGTATGAAGCTCCTGGACTTCTTCTAGAATAACATTATTGTCTTGCATGGCCTTTCTCTCTCTCTCCTCAACCTGGCACTTCTGTTCTGAGAGGACAGCAATTTCCTGCTGCAGTTCAAAGTTCACTGCCTGACAGGCCTTATTGTCTTGCAGCAGGGATTTGTTTGAGTCCTCCATGTCTTGCCAATCAGTCGAGGTCTGTGTCGCTTTGACACGTTTCTTCTGCCCCACACAGTAATCCATTAAGTCCAGGAGAACCTTGATGTTTTCATTCAGTGTCGCAATTTTTGAAAGGAGGATGTCGTTTTTCTTGACGACGACCTCGCGGGCCTGATGAAAAGATACAGTGTCTACAGGGTAGCCTGGTTGGCTCAGGAAATCCTCAGCCTCATCATCAGTCAGCTCTACTTGAGGGATATTGCCGGGGTCACTCCCGTCCATTAGGTCGATTATAATTTTCGGCAATTCGGTGCTAGAGACCTTTAGTTTTCTGTACTGTTTGCGGAGTTTCCTGTGGTCACTGAGCAGTTTCTCGTACTCTCTGTAAAGGGGTTCCATATTGACTGTGCGATCGCCCCGTGTTTCCATTGTGTAATCTAAGCGTTGGTTTTGTAACAAATGTTGGTTATCTTTAGTGCTTCCCTTTACCAAAACTTTAAATGAAGAATGAATTCAGAAAACTGGATATGCGTTAGGTAACGTGCGCCTATAGTACTTTCAAGTGACTACAATACCGGCTTTGATTTAAAAAAAAAGTTGTGGCTTTGATGTTTTCCTGTGTTCTAGAACTTCCTTGTTATTGGTTCCATCGATTTTGCATTCCGTTGTCATGGCCAAAGCCGTGTCGCTTCACCATGGCAACAGCTCCAAATAAAGAGCCTTGTGGAAATAAAACCCATCACATTTCACAGCAGCAAATGAGAAAGGGTGGAAATGTCGGCCAGTCCTACGAAATAGGCCTGCTAATAGTGCTACACCGACATTGGCATTAACCACGCGAGTACCACACTGCAACTAGATATTGGACTTCCTCACAAACAGACCACAGTTCGGACATATATATATATATATATATATATATATATATATATATATATATATTTTATATATATATTATATATATATATATATATATATATATATATATATAGACACCGCATTGACCGCTTCGGCCCATTGCTCGGATACGTCAACGTCGCCGCCATATTGGCCGGGCAAAAAATACAAGTAAACTGGTTGAACCGCGGTTTTTCTGGTTAAAAAGCCGATTTCATGGAGTGATTTTTATACTCTGAGCTTTATGATAAACGTGAAGTAGATTTTTTTTTTTACATAGAATCTCAGTAGTTAGTCTAATAGGTTATAATAGCAGCGAGACGCTCAGGAAAGGAGTCTATGTAGGTTTACATGAACTGAATTACTTACGTGTTGGAAAATAATGAATTGTCGTAATATTTATAGTAATCATAGTGTTATCTAAAGGCGGTAGCCATGTTTTGCTGTCATTTATGGTCGCGCCTGCTGTTATATAGCCTACAGGGAGCAGACAGACAGACTGACAGACAAATGATTTTTTTTTATATGTATGACTTAATTTTTAGTAACAGTAGCTTAAAGGGAACTATATCTTAATTTCATTCTACAACCTTTCATCATAAATGACAATAAAATAACCTTGAACCCTTGAATTAAGTCACTGAAATGTCAAACCCATTAATGCAATCTTCAAAAATCATATGCTGATTTTCGGGTTTAGGCACTTTTATTTAAAGGAAGAATAACTAGTAGGCTACATGAAAATTCAAAAGAATAACAAGATAAGATTTATTGATCCCAAGGGCCCAGTATTTCAAAACCTATCCAGCTATGATTAAATCTCATATTTGTGTATTTCAGAACAGGTGATGTTATCCAGAATATAGATCAAATGTTGTTTTAGGGTATTTCAAAACTTTAAGGTGGAGATTAGGATAGTTTTTATGCTAAAAATCAGGATAATCCTGATCCCACAGGAAGGGTGGATCCATCAAGGATGCAAGGTGGGTCTAGAGACCTAGGTTACTATAGTTAACTAAAACTAAAACTAGGTGTGAAGACAAATTGTGAAAAATATGTATATAAATAAGAATGTTCACATCTAATCTACTTTATATGATGGAGCTGCAGCCAACTATAGTTTTTCCCATTTGCTCAAACACGTTTGTCCATTCATTTTCAAAACAGTCTGCATAGAGAGGCCTAAACTGAAAGTCGCTAGCCAAAATGACATAAAATTACATTTGTCAAACTCCTCTAACACTCACAAAACATTAAAAACATACAACAAAAGGGAACATTTTCATCAAACAACCTGACTTATGGACAAATTAATATATTCTTTATCATTATAGAATGGACAAAATATGAATATGAACTTTAACAGTACATAGTTACAGTATGCACCAAAAAAAAGGCAAGCAAGCGTATCACAGCATGAGTAGTATTATTTTTTCCAAAGATGATTTAACTAAAGATAATAAACCCTGCTGCACGTTTTACACTTCTTTGAGATTCCCTGTTGAATGTTTTCTTTATTAATTTCATTCTTGTGTGCAGGTCTGACTGGTCTTACCCATGAACTGATCGTTGACATGTATGACCTACAGAGAGCAACTGGACTTTACAAATTCTGGCTTTCACTATGGCATTTTGTACTGCGATCTTTCTTCACCAAAGAACCAATAAAGAATTTCACCCAAACTCAGAAATATAAAAAAACTAAAGTTTCTCTGGATTTTTCTATGGCCTCTTTCTTGCAAATAACAACACAGAGGTGGCATTTGTACATGGATAAGGACATAGAGTCTCACACATGTGCATTAGAGATCCATAATCATGCAAGTCATTTCTATCAGCTGTAAATAGATGTTTTCTTTTTGTTGTTGTTTTGACACAGATCCAATGGAGTTTGGGGTCTTTCTACTAGGTTTCATTAAGCGTCTTAACAATCGAGAAACACTCCAAATTAAAAATATATGGTGGGTCTCGTCAGCACCACTCTCTGTCGCTAGAGGTCGCTGGTCCCTGCGTGTAGGGGCTGGTGGGCAGGCAGGGGGCTGGATTGTGGACTGCTGGAGACTCCAGGGGGGCAGCAGGGTATGTGTGTGTGCCTGTGAGTGTGTTTGAGGCTCGTCGAGCAGCAGGGGCAACTTGAAAACTTCACTGCGTTCAGCGAAGGAGGTCTGGGATCCGAGATTTGGCGATTGGGAGCCGAATCTGCTGCTTCCAGTCCAGCTGTGATCGACAGAGGAGGACCGGTCCGGTTCTCAGCATTGGAACGATTTCCGGCCAACATGGATGATTTAGGTAAGTTCGCTCGCCCTGAACGCAACATTTACACAGCGGGCGCGAGTGTGTGCGTGTGTGTGTGTGTGTGTGTGTGTGTGTGTGTGTGTGTGTGTGTGTGTGTGTGTGCGCGAGCGTGTGCGAGCGTATGCGCGTGCTGTTAGCGCAAACACATAATGCTGCCATTAGATGTGTATTCAACCCAGCGAAGCTTTGTGGACCACAGTTGGGTCAGCAATATGTCCAGGTAGGTTAAGTTATACGGGTTCAGCTGAGCTCAGCGCGAGGTTACATGCCCAGAAAGGCCCCGCGTGCTGACACAGGGAGCACAGGCACCAGATTCGTTGCGATGATTAGCCTAATTAACACATGTATTGTGTGTGTGTGTTGTGTGTGTATATATATATATAATATTTGAGAGGACATATCGCTCTGGACGGTACATTGGCGGTGTTTGTGGCCGAGTTACACCTCACACTTCCTCCACATCGCTTAACTAGAAGTGATACGCTACTGCAGGGTTTCCTGTAACTTTTTTTTATGCTCATAACTAGCAGAAATATATAAATTACACCACCAATCACCAAGGTTCTTTGACAATTGATGAGCTACTGATCTTTTGAGCCCCTCCTGGTGATTGTCAGGATTACATAACTGCCTGTACTGCAGGTGGGTTGGTAACAGCTGGTTTCTCTGATTAAAAAAAAAACTATCATTGAGAGAGTGGTTGTGTTCCTTAAATGATCAGAACCTCTTGAGCCCATTTAAAGTCCTTGATACTAATTTTCAGCTTGAATTCAACCCTGGTTTCAGCTGACTGCCACACCAGTGCAGTATCTGCTCACAGACACAGTAGTGGATGAATGCAGGAGAGCTGTGCCGTCCTTCTGCCTGTAAAGATGAGCTTAACTCAGGGAATTATTGCACACTTGGTGACAACAGAAAATGTAATGCCTGAGGACAGGTTTTTGGTGACAGGGAGGGGTTTAGGGAGCTCGGCACAGTGTTCTCGCTGTACACAAGATCCCCGTTCTTCAGATTCCCACTGTAACAGTTCCTTTGTGATTATTTTAGTAATGAAAAATTCTTGTGTGCTGTGAGCCCAACACTTTTTTTTTTTCTTCTTGTTTTAGCGTGGCAATGCATGTAGTGGATATAATACACCTTGTGGGATCCTCCACAGGTTTAATGGAATAGTGTGGAATAATTTATATAAGCAACCATGCGCACACACCCTTCAGTGATGTAAAAGTGTGCAACGTAATTAAAACCAGAAGGAAACTTCTGAAGTAATTCAGCTTGCACGTTGCTATCAGGATTTTGTATTCATTTACAACCACTGACTTTAGTGTTTATGAGGCTTTGAGTTTTACCCTGGCAACTGTAAGGTTAAGTTTAGCAGGACACCCGTGTAATGCATCGAAGGAGTCGGGTTCATTGGGTGCTAAAAAGATACCCAAATGCATTCATAAAGTCAAAGTTGATAAATGTCTAGCATCAGCCATCCAAAAAAGTATTACCGCCCACTGTTAGCTGCAGGTGGACTTGCTATCAGATAGGCGATACGGCTCTGTTGTACAGTATGTTAACATCTCATTCCAGACAGGACAAGACTGTCTGTGTTTTCGTAAGGAAAAAAGCCATTCGTGTGCAGTGTTTTCTTAGTCGTTGCCATCCTGTTGGCTCCTCAGCAGAACACCTGGATATATATAATTTGGGCCAAAACCCAGTTCTCTGTTTGACAACTTGGTGGTGAAAGTGAGACTGTACCAAGAATATTGGTCACTCTATAGCCAGTCAATATTTATGGATAGCTTCTCGGCTTACATGGGTGAAGGGCTTTCCTTAAAGTGGATTCTTAAAAAAGAGTGTTACACAACCCAGTGTAATTACCATGTCACAGGGTTGTAAATTCTGTCATCGTTTTAGCAGAGACGTGTAAAAATGTGGCACACGAACTTAGGGAAAATGTAGGGTAGAGATACTCCCCTGTTCAAGGTTGGGTGCTCTGTTCTGTCTCATCCCAACAGCTAATGGATGGTGTTGGGATGGGAGTCACGGATGGAAAATGTTTCTCTGTCTCTTTTGAAAGTGTTTAACTTTTTAAAATGGTTTAGGCTAATGCAATTGCGGATCTAAAGAAGCAGCTCCCAAAGAGCTGAAGTGAGGCAATGCAGGGAGTTATCCCCCTCAAGCCTCAGAGAGGACAACAGAGCTACATGTATTTTTAGCGAAGGAGTCCTTCTTCTCAAGTGCTGAGCCAGCAGCGCCTAGAAACCTTCCACCAACCAAAGCGACATCTCTCTTTTCCTCTTACCCTCACTTTTATCGTTCATTTGTAACAGTCCCCATTCCTGTATTGCCCCAATCACATGTGACAGGAAAGCAGCTACTCTGGTTGGCAGGTTCGCTTTTGCCCCTAAACCCATCTTTTGCTGTGATCCACACGTGTGCACACACTCAATTTGCTAAATCCTCATGCTTCCTTCAGTGCCAGCCGTGGGAGCAGACTAGCGCTGCTCACAGGCAGGGTGTTGGGGTGGATCAGGCCCACATGCAGGGATTGGGCCTCAGCCAAAATGTATCCTCCTTAAACACTGCACTGCCCCACCCTCTCTCTCCCCACTCCCCACCATTCCTGTGGTCAACCACATAGGAAGCTGCAGGCTGCAATCTATTGTCAGTTTAAAGCTGGCGGACTTTGCAGGAGGGCAGATTAGCCTTTAGAAAGATGTGGATCAAAGCAGAGTGTGATGCTTGATTGATGCCAATCATCAGGTTTTTAACTCCAGTCAGTAATGAAAGTCAGATTCAAAAGCATTATTTTGTAATGCTAGACATTGATTTATATAATTTGCGTCTCCTTTTATTTATACAGTCTTTGCAGTTAAGATGCTCTTGCATGTTTTGAGGCAAACTTTCATTGACCTCCCCTCCTCAGCTATCAGCGCTGCCAAGCGTTGCTCCTTGCTTCACTGCTCTGGGCCTGCACCAACAAGACATGAATGTCAAATAGCCTCCAAAGTTAACTTCCTTTTACAGAATTTGAGCTGCAGTACGTTCCAATATTTTCTTTTCATGTCAGTAAATACATCAACTGTTCACTGATATGTTTTACTGTCGTTTTAGTGGCATCATTTGAAGTGAAGTGATTCCCCAGAGCCCTGTCAGCACAGCAGCTACAGTGTTGGAAATGTCAGTCATGGTGTGGGCGTGGGCAAAGTCGTTCTTTACTAACTTCAAATGAGATCTGATGTAGCCTGGAAACTCAAAGTCTAAATTTAGGTTGGTTCATTGTTTATACACCAAAAGAAGAAAAAGGTAGTTTTTCACTCTATCAGGGACACAGTTTATATAATGATTTCAACAGTAGTCAAGCAGACGCTGTGAAAGGCGACTCGCTCCCTCTGTAGATAAAAACGGCTCCGTATAAGGTAACAAAAACAACGATTCTTATTTTCAGGTGATTATACACTACCACCTATGAATATTGTATTCCATTTCTGCCAGTAGATCCTCCTAAATGTTACACACTGGACCTTTTAAAACGACAAATCACCATTGATGGAAGCGAATATGCCTGACGTAGAAGTTACTGCTCTTAACTATCAACACATAACCCTCCATAGAACTGTGACATCCTCTTTTTACACTTTGATTTCTGTACTGAGAAATAAGATATAATGTGGTCATCAGTGATCTTTAGAGGTGCTACGAGGGGTGTTACAGAGTTAAGCTAGCTGTTTCCCCTCGTTTCCGGCCTTTATTCTAAGCTGAGTGGTATTAATCTTCTCGTCCAGAAAGTGAATAAGCGTTTTTTCCAAAATGTTAAACTGTTCCTTTAAAAGTACTCTTGACTAGGACTTGGTGGACACATATTCTTAACAAAAAGCCTTTACAAGTGACAAGAGTTACAAACATAGGGTGTAGATTTTTAGGCATTTAACAGGCAGGGAGATTCTAACAAAAGATGCTACTAAGTGTGATTATAAAGTATAGGATCCAGCGGTTTTGGGGCTTGACCCACATTGGGGACTAAAAGTCAGGATATCTCTGCCTCTGCTGCTTCAACTATGACCATTCCTTTTTTTAATCTGTCTCTTACACTCTCCAAACTTTATGGAAATATAACACTAAATCACTTTTAAGTCAGTCTGGATTTGGAAGTTCCCATTCACAAAAATCCCCCTTCAGTTAACTTCCTCTTTATTTGAAAAAAAAAACCTGTCAAGTTGTTGTTGAAAATCCCAACTTCAGTAACCCTTCGGGGGCTTAATGCGACACGGGGGCAAGCCTACACGAGATGATAAGTCTCTTGTGTGTGTCACATGCATATAAATCACACACAGAATCAATGTAGTATCTGAAGGCTTGAGAGAATCCCCTGTATCTCCTCCAGCGTCTGTCCATCTGTTTGACTTTAAAAGGAAAATGCTGCAGGGCTTTGAAACATATGGTGTACACACACACACACACACACACACACACAACACACACACACAGACTCACAAAACACTCTTGATCACAGACTGCTGGTGTGGACAGACAGCTCTGAAGGAGAAGCTGACTAAGCAGCGACAGCTCTACACTCAGCCAATCGTCATGTCATCTCTCATGGGCCCAGCGCCCCATAACAACAGCCCACGGGGTCGATATCCGAACAGCTTCTGTGGGTTTTTGGAACCAGGGTTTATGTGGACATAGGCCTTCAAGCCAAAAAACACATCTCACGACTCATAGGGGGTTCAGGCAAAATCTGGCTGCTGTTTGGATCTGTGTAGTTTAAATACAGCGTAGAGTATAGTTGCTACGTGTGCCAGTCATGTTCCTCTGTCATGCTTTTTGTCAGCTGAGCTCAATGAGCCCTTTTTATTGGGCTTCTCATCCAGCTAGATGCATGCTTCATGACAGGAAGTGCCCTTAGTGACCTCTATGTTGTAGTGGCGGTCAGGAGGCAACAGAATAGCCCGCTGTAGGTCACAGACATCATGTTAGTCATACTAACTTGTGGACAATGCCTC